TTTTTTTTTTTTTGAGACAGAGTCTCACTCTTTGTCCGGGCTAGAGTGAGTGCTGTGGCATCAGCCTAGCTCACAGCAACCTCAAACTCCTGGGCTCAAGCGATCCTCCTGCCTCAGCCTCTCAAGTAGCTGGGACTACAGGCATGCGCCACCATGCCCGGCTAATTTTTTCTATATATATATTTTTTAGTTGGCCAAATAGTTTCTTTCTATTTTTAGTAGAGACGAGTTCTCACTCTTGCTCAGGCTGGTTTCGATCTCCTGACCTTGGAGCGATCCGCCCGCCTCGGCCTCCCAGAGTGCTAGGGGCTGATCAGCTTTAACATCTGTGCTCACCCGTGAAACCAAAGCCACCGTCACGACGGTGAAGATGTCCACCCCTCCTCCCCACCCCCACCCCCAGCACCAGACCACCACTGATTTGCTCTCTGTCACTAAAGACTGCAGTTTCCAGACTTCTACATAAATGGAATCATACACTAGGTGCTCTTTTTTTGGTTGTGCTTCTTGGCATAATCGTTTCAGGATTCATCCATGTTGTTACATATATCAGTCGTAAAGCCCAGGCCCCTGACCGTGAGCCCCGAGTGATCCCCTACTTCCTCCACAGCTTCCGCTTCCCTGTTCCCCACTCTCTAGGCAGCAGCTGTGCTGTCTTTCTCCCTGTCCTTCAACATACCCAGCTTATGCCTGCCCCAGGGCCTTTGCACCTGCCGTTCTCCCTGCAATGCTTTTCACAGGGATGGCTGCAGCTTGGCATTCAGGTCTCAGCTCAGATATCACCTCAGAGAAGTCTCTACCTATTTAATGTATATTACCTGCCACCCCTGTGACTATCCTATTACCTTTAAACTTTTTTTTTTTAAGAGACAGGGTCTCACTCCATCACCCAGGCTGGAGTGAAGTGGCACCATCATATCTCACTGCAGCTTCAAACTTCTGGACCCACACAATCCTACTGGCTCTCCCTCCTGAGTAGCTAACTATAGGCATGCACCACCACAGTAATTTTTATTTATTTATTTGTGGAGCTGGGGGTCTCGCTGCATTGCCCAGGCTGGTCTCAAACTCCTGGCCTCAAATGATCTTCTCACCTTGGCTTCCCAAAGTGCTGGGATTATAGGCGTGAGCCACTGCACCTAGTCCTATTATCTCATTTTACATTCTTCACCACACTTAACATGACTTAAAATTATATCTATGTATTGACTGTGTGCCTCTTCACTAGTGTGTGAACCACAAGAGCAGGAGCTTTGTTCACGTCCAGAACAGGGTCTGCACTTAATCGGTGCTTAAAGAATGTGTGAATAGCCGGGCGCGGTGGCTCACGCCTGTAATCCTAGCTCTCTGGGTGGCCGAGGCGGGCGTATTGCTCGAGGTCAGGAGTTCAAAACCAGCCTGAGCAAGAGCGAGACCCCCGTCTCTACTATAAATAGAAAGAAATTAATTGGCCAACTAATATATATAGAAAAAATTAGCCGGGCATGGTGGCGCATGCCTGTAGTCCCAGCTACTCGGGAGGCTGAGGCAGTAGGATCGCTTGATCCCAGGAGTTTGAGGTTGCTGTGAGCTAGGCTGACGCCATGGCACTCACTCTAGCCTGGACAACAAAGTGAGACTCTGTCTCAAAAAAAAAAAAAAAAAGAATGTGTGAATAAACGAATGTGTGACTAGAACAATAAACAACCTATAGAGACCCATTTCTGTCATGGTGCTTCAGTGTAGATTAAAAACTCTGGTATAGATGCACTAAGATGGAACCACTACAGCGCTTGAAGAAGACCCAGGACATCTGGTGAGACCCAGGCCAGCCAGCCAGGGCATTCCATTCCCACTGGGACAGGCAGTAACGAGGGACCACGGCCCTCACCAGACTGGGATCCAGCTCCCGGGCCCTGTTCGCGCCCACTGTTTGCTGTGTACCCTCCAAAGGCCCAGCTTCCTTCTACCAGATGACCTCAGACATCTTGACCTTGACCTTGAGCCCCCAGCACCCCTTTCCCTGGACCCCCTCCTCCACCTGCACCTCCGGACTCTCTGTTGTAGGCTTGGTGATGCCCACCTCGCGGCCCAGCTGTATCAGCCAGCACCAAAAGACTCATTTCCTGCTTTAGGGCTGCAGCGGACCAGTTGGGGACCAGGGACCCGACACTCAGAGCCTGCTCAGAGGCTTTGCTGGCCTCTGGGATCAGCGGGCCGCCAGGGACCCCACAGCCTTGCCCACGGCTGATGTGCGGATTTCTCCGCTCTCTGGGGCAGACAGTGGTGACGACTGGAGGTGACGACCCGAACGCTCGGGCGACGCTGGCTTTGCTCTGCCTCTGGACGCCCACACCCATCCTGCGAAGTAGGGCCTGTGCCCATCCCCTCTTTACAGATGAGGAAACTGAGGCACAGAGCGGCGAGGTCACTTTCCCATAGCGTCACAGCCAGGATGAGCTGGCGTGGCAGACCTCCACGCGCACACACCCACCACCCAAGCGGCGCCTCTCTGCGCCCCCCTCCCCCAGCCCCCACTCCCAGCAGCGTCAGCGACAAGGCGCTGGGCGGGAGGCGGCTGCATTTTTTTGCCTTGCCCAGAAATGTCAGTGCGTCACCATCACACAAAGTCCTGGCTGTTTGCTCCCGCGATTCCCAAGGCGCTCTTGACAAGTGTCCCCGCACTCAGGCTGGTGGGGGAGGGGGGCAGGAATGGGAGGCAGGTTCAAAGCACACAATTAAAATTCCTAAGGGACCAGACGGAGTCCTTCTACTCCTCCCTTGGAAACATACAGAACATTCTTGGTCCCCATATGGGACTGGGGGCTGGGCTCGGAGCCTCTTGTGGCACCTTCTCCAGTCCCGTGTGAGCCCAGACGTGCTCCCCGGTGGAATTCTCTGTGTCCCCGAGACAGCCACCCCCCTCCTCCCCACCCATCAGCCTGGCTTAGGATTCCTGGCGCTCCTCGGGAGGCAGGCAGGGCTGTGGCACCATAGGCCTGGCCGGGGCCTCCGAGGTGCAGCTGGCCGGGCCCCTCCTGTGCCACATGCCTGGCGGGCTTGGGCCTGGCAGGGGCGTGTCCTGGGAGGGGGTGTCCACAGCCGCCCACGCGTGGCCCAGCTTGGTGGTGGTCTCAGAAGAGGAGGGATGCCCGTCAACTAAGGATGGGTGGAAGAGAACCGGCCTTCCCGGGGGTGTGGCCTCCTCTCTGATAAGGGCTTGTCCCTATCTGGGAATCTAGAGGCAGATAAGGGCAGGACCAGGGTGAGGCAAGCAGGACACTGAGGGCTCAAGTGTAGGAAGGTGTTGACTCTCCCTCCACCTCTCTCTTAAGGGTCTGGGGGGAGGGGGAGGGGGCAACTGCTTCGTGGTTAGGGTCTCCTGTGGGTGATGAAGAGGTTTTGGAGCTAGATAGACCCGAGGGTCCCACAACATTGGGAATTCCTTGAGAATACTCCTGAATGGTACACTTTAAAATAGTTAATTTTATCTTACATGAACTTCACCTCAACTAAAAAAATAAAGAGAGGCCAGTCACAGTGGCTCACGCCTGTAATCCCAGAACTTTGGGAGGCCGAGGCAGAAGAACTGCTTAACCCAAGGAATTTGAGGCTAGCCTGGACAACATAGTGAGACCCCGTTTCTACAAAAAATTTAGAAATTAGCTGGGTGCACATCTGTAGTTTCAGCTACTTAGGAGGCTGAGCCAGGAGGATCACTTTAGCTGAGAAGTTTGAGGCTGCAGTGAGCTATGATCACCCCACCTTACTCTAGCCTGGGGGACAGAGCGAGACCCTGTCTCTAAAAAAAAACAGCAGACCGAGGACCGCAGCCATGGCTGTGCACCAGCCGTCCTCCAACCATGCTCTCATACTTTCTGAGTAACATTTCTGGTAAGACTGGATATTTCTTATTAGACAAAAAAAGCATAGAATTAAATTTGGAAAGTGTCTTGAAAATTTATAATTGAGCACGCACACGTGAGGAGGCCCTGCTCTCGTGGCCTGTGAATGTAGGGTTCACGCCGGCACAAACCCAAGCGCCTCCCCACGTTGGGCGCCCTGGGCTTTCGTGTCCTGGCACCCCTCCCCCCCAGCACAGGTGAGGACCTTCACCTTGTCTGTGGGTAGCCATGAGAGCTCAAAGCACCCACTGCGCGCAGCCCGAAGCCTCTCTGCCTGGATTCAAATCCGGACTCTCTAGCTCACCCCCTGGGTGACTGTGCAGCTCCCTGAAACGCTCTGTGCCTCGGTTTCCTCCTGTGTACGATGGGGACAATGAGGATAGTCTCTACTGGCAGGGGCTTAGCAGAGGTTATCTGGGTTAGAGCATATGAATTCCCGGCCACAGAGACTGGCACAGCAGGGGCTCACTCGCTGGCCCTGCGTGCCCAGGAGCTGTTGGCCTCGCCCCTGCCCCAACACAGAGCTCCGTGGCGGGCAGGAGACCCTCAGGTGCTCACCCAGGACTCGCCAGATGGAGCTAGGTGGTGGAGCGCTCCAGCTCCGGAACAAGAGGAGGGGTGAGTTTGAGGACACCACGCAGGTAGTGAAGGGGGCAGATCACCCCCAAAAGCATGCAGACAACGCTGGTGCGAGGTGGCCCTCCCCCGCCCGCCCCCAGCCTGGATCTCATAAACCCCAGTGGACTTGCTTTTCCCAGAAATGGTCCCTGGAGCATGCTCTACAGTCCGCAGGCCGGGGTGGGGGTGGGGGTAGGGGGGTGTCATTCTCCTCCCCTCCCCCACCCATCCTCCCTGGAATCCAGGAACCGGGTTCGGGAGCTTTAACTCTACTCAAAGAGATACTGAGGCGGGGTGGGCGGCGGCAGCGCGGGCGGCGGCTGGGCGGGGAGCCGGGCTGGGCCGCGGTGGAGGTGGGGAGATGACAGACCAGCGGTTACGACAGCGGCCGCGCCCCGCCCACACGATTGTATGCAAATAAGGCCCGCCCTGTGGCCACGCCCCTTGGCCCGCGCCCGATCGGGGCTCCGGGCCAGCTCCAAGCCGGCGGAGCCCAGCCCCCCCGCGCTCTGCCCACCTGTCCCCCACCCGCACTCGCCTCCTCCTACCTGCCGGCCTCCGCGCCACTGGGAGGGGCCGAGGACCCCCTGCTCCCGGCCCGAGTCTGCCCCAGAGGCTGCTGGCCCCACCTGTTAGCTTCTTGGCAGGTGACCCCCATCTGGGCGAGGAGGTGGTGGAATCTGTGTGGGTGGTCCTGGCACCGGTTGGGGAAGGGCGAGGGCGAGGGATGGGGCGTCTTGGCGGTGGGGCCAGACACAGATCCCCTCCCGGCTGCCCAGGCTGCATGTGAGGGGTCGCTCAGGTGGACACAGCGGGTGGGAGCTGAAAGCCTAGGGGAGCCACCTGGGCTCCCTCTCCTCTCTGCCAGGGCCTGCAGTGGCGGCGGCCGGCTAGCCAGGTCCGGACAGGAAGAGCGAACCTGGGAGAGAAGCTTGATTCTGCCATAACCTGGCTGTGTGAGAAACCCTTTCAAAACACCCATCACAGCAGCCCTGGTGCACAAACCCTCCAGGGCTCCCCAGTGCACATAGGGACCCCCCTGCCCCCTTTAACTCTGATCCATCTTTCCAGCCCCCCTTCCTCCTGAACTCCACTTTCCCACCACAGGGCCTTTGCACATGCTGTTCCCTCCTCCCGGAACACTGGCCCCTGTCCCTGCCTTCCTCACCCAGTTCACAGCCTTGTGCTTGAGCTCACAGCTCTCAGCCAGCCCCCCAGGAAAGCCTTGCCTGATGTCGCCGCTGGGTCCTGTCACCTCCCTTTTTCCCCAGTGTGTGGGTCAGTGTCGTTCCCTTCCTGAGGACACAGTTTCCCAAACTGCCTTGACAATAGAGTCATGCAAAGTATTTTTTTAAAAAAATACAGATTCCTTTTCCCAGCTCTATAGACACAGAAACTCCAGGAGTGGGAGCTGGGTGCCGTGTAACCACCACCATGGGTGGGGACAGATGGATGCCCCCACCTCTGGTCTGAGCCCCAGGAGGCAGGAGCCATTTCTTTCTGTATCATGCAACCCTACCTCCTGCACAGTGTCTGACATGAGAGTGGGCTCAAGAAATATTTATTGGGTGGGCGGGTGGATGGCTGCAGAATGGATGGAATTAATCGCAGTAACTAACTGTTATCCATTCAGTGTGCTGCGCTCATTACCTGCCACACAAGACTGGCGCAAGCAGAACCCGAAGGTGGGTGACGTGGCCCCGGGCAGCTGGAGCTGGCAGAGAGTGAACAAGACAAGAAAACCCAGGCCGAGGTCGGGACAGAGGTGAGTAGCTGAAGAGGACTCTGCCTGTGCCTCGAGCCCCCAGCAGAGGACAGAGGTGCCCTGGAGGCCACCCTGAGGCAGCTGAGCCCGCCTCCTTCCGGAAAGGCTTCTCTCCCCCAAGCTAGGTGCAGAGAAACTGTCGGCCCCTGTTGGGAACTGAGGACGCAGAACAGGGCCAGGACAACATGACGCACATGTTTGGCACCCCTGTCGTGCTAAGCACTGTTCTGAGCACTTTACGAGTGAGCTCGAGCAATCCAGTGGCTGCCCCCTCTTCCTCCTGCTCTGAAGTTCCTGCCATGCGTCCCTTCCCTCCCCCTCAAGTCCCTCCAAGTGTTAAGTTGGAACTGGAACAGTGCCTTGTGCCCAGCCACTCTCTCCATGAAAGCACCTCACACCCGCACTTCTTGATTCCAGAGTGCAGGGGTGAGGGGAGGAGGACTGGTGGTGGCAGCAGAGGAGCAAGCTCTCCTCCCTCTTGGCGTCCCACCCTGCAGCTGGTGGCTTGCATTTCAGGAGTCTGAGCTTGTGCCAGCGAGGTTCATTCCGAGGGCCGGGCCGGGGATGGCGAGAGAGGGCGGGAGGGGCCGAGGCTTCCCGATGCCCTGCCCAGCTGAGAGGGATGGTATCTTTGACATCAAAACCCAACTGGCCCACACCCTGCGGAGCCAGGCTAGTCCCTCCCCCCTGATGAGAGAGGAGGGTGGGTATGCAAAACAGGGGTGTGGTGGGAGGTGGAGGCCTGGGGGGCCAGCAGCCCATGCAGTCACTGTGCTCCCGGGGTTACTGTCAGGCCCCACCCCCAGCAGTCAGAAAAGGGGTGTTCAGAGCCGGGTGGGCTGTGCTGACACTGAACGCTTGTTTTCCTGCCGCCCACACTCCCCACACTAGCTGGCTGGGAATGGCCACGCACCCTGGGGCTGCCACTTACACCATGCCTGTGCCAGTTTTCTCTCCCTCCCTGGGGGGAGCTCTGAAAGTGCCCCAAGGGCAAGAGCCACTGATTGGGTGGTGACATTTGGGGCAGGGCAGGGAGGGACCAGGCTGAGCCAGAGCCCCTGGACTTTGCCAGGCCTGGTAAACAGCACCCAAAAGGTTAAAAAAAGGCTCTGAGTCTTCGACCCCCCCCACCTCCCCCGCCCCCTGGAGAGCGAGGCCAACTGGGCGACTTGAGGGGGAAGGGGGAGTGGGGAGTGTGTTGGACGGGCTGGGACCTGCCTCGGCCCCCTGGAGCACCTTCTCAGTCCACTCCTGAGTGTGGTTCCCAGACACTGTCTTAGTCCTGGCCCTCCCCTTTCCAGACCTGGCCCCCAGCTCACCTGGGGCCCAGAAAGGTAGTACCCTGGAAATTCTGGATTCAGGATTTCGAAAGCAAGCAAGTAGCAGAGCTCCACACGGAACATGTTGCTTAAGTATTTTTTTTTTTTTTTGCAAGAGATGCATCTGGGCTGGGGTTCCATGGGGCCAGGGGGGGTGAGGTGTGTTGCTGACCCAGGTGGGGTGGAACAGACTAGGGCAGGAAGGGGAAGGATCTGGGTCGTTGGCATCCTGGATTCTGACTCTGCCCTCTTAGTCTATGGTCTTAAGCAAGGCCAGCTTCGCAGACATTCAACCTGTCCAGTCACACAGGGTCCCACTTTGGAAGGGCTTCAAACTCTACTTAATGCTCTGCTGGCACCAGTTTGGAATTCTTCATAATTTTGAACAAGGGGCTCTGTGTTTTCATTTTGCACTGGGTCCTGACAATTATGTAGCTGATCCTGGTCTTTAAACTCAAGGAACCATTGGTGGCTCTAGAATTTCTATTTAGGGAAAGATTTGAAGTAAAAAAACATGTTGGAAGTGAGGCAATTTATTCTGAAGTTGCGCTTGGATAATAACAATAATACAAATAATAATATAACAACAGATAATAATAACAAAAACAACATATTCTTACAACACTTATGTGCCAGTCACTATTCTAAGTGCTTTATGTGAGTTAGTCCATTTAATCCTCTTTTTGATGAGAACTATTATTATGCCTATTATATAGAAGAGGAAACTGAGGCTTATCCTGGGCAATTTGGCTCCACTGTCTGTTAGCATTCCCACTTGTTTATGTTTAAAGTGGGTTTCTTGTAGGCAACATATAGTTGGGTCTTGTTTTTTTTAAATCTTCTCATATCTCTGTCTTTTAATTGGTATATTTAGACCATTTACATTTAAAGTGTTGATATAGTTGGATTAATATCTACTGTGTTTGTAACTGCTGTGCATTCTGTCTTCTTGTTCTTCCTTTAAAAAAAAACTCCTCTTTTTCTGCTGTCTCTGGTTTTAAGTGTTTTTATGTGACCCCCATATTCTCTCCTTTCTTAGTGTATCAGTTATACTTCTTCTTAAATATTTTTTAGTGGTTGCTCTAGAGGTTTTGCAATATACATTTATGACTAATCTGAGTTCACTTTTAAATAACACTGTCCAGCGTCATTGAGTATTCCCAGCTACTCCCTCCCCTCCCTGGTAATGCTGCTGCCGTTCATTTCATGTTTCCATGTGCTATAATCACTCATAATCACCCAGCACATTGTTGCTGTTATTGTTGGTTTATTGCGATTATTCATTTGTCAAATCTTGACAGCAACCTTACGAGGTGGGGACCATCTTCAGCCTTATGTTACAGGGGAGCCTACGAAGGCACAGGTACTGCATAGCCAGTGAAGGGCAGGGCTGAGTTTTGAACTCAGGCATCCCCCATGCCGTGGGCAAGCAGCCTGCTTTTGTTTAGTTGCTACGTTACATGTCATCCAATGGAGCAAAGCTTACTAAAGAGAGCTTTATTTCCATTTTATATGGTGTTTTCATTTACCATTATTTGCTCAGCATATTACTATCGTGCAGGGCTTTGTAGGGGCTGATGGAGATGGGAGCAACCAAGAAAGAATTGGGGTTCTGACCTCATCCACTGACTCCTCCCCAAATCACATTCTGCTCCCCTGAAGGCTCAGAGTGAGAGGGAGGAGCCTGCAGTGCCCACCTCGTGGCATGAGAAGCCAAGGGCTGGGGCATCCCTGCGTGGAAGCACAGGCGTCTGCTCCCCAAGGCCAACCCCACTCTGGGGTCTACAGTCTGGCCTGCGTTGGAAAACCTCTCTCCATGTGAGCCTGATCTGGATTCTCAGGCTGCTCCCTAGTGGCCCAGGGGTTGGCTATGGGGTCTTTGGCAGGAGGCCAGAAGGGGCATTCTGGGGGACCTCCCTGTGGGAACTGAGCAAGGCAGCACCGCCATCGGGGCGGGCAGGAAGGAGCCACTTTCTGTTTGTAAACGGTGTCCACATCCTACTGACATCCTTCCTTCCTCCTGCCCTTGCTGAACTGCCCTCTTTGGCAGAGAGCAGCAACCTAGACAGGGTCCTAGGGTAAGAGTGGGCGGGACTGTCCTCTCCAAACTTGCTGGGCTGATTTTCTAGGCTAGGTGGGCATCCCCCTGAAAAGGCATCTGGAATGAGATCTGAATTTCTGGGGCAGATACAACTCTAGCTGATCTTTGAGGAGGAAGCTAAGACAGAGCAGAGGGGACTTGGGACCCACCCCCCAAGCAGATGCCTATAGTGCCAGGGCTGTGGGGCACCCAGAGTCAGGCCAAGAGGGTACACGTTGCGGTAGGCATCATTGCGGCTGGCCAGCACCTGTTCTTCCTTCCATCAACAGCGTCCTAACTTCCCTTTGAGGATCCACCCTTCCTCCTTTCTCAAGTGGTCCTTCCCCTCTGTGCCTGAGGGAGACAGGTGAATCAGACTTGGCCAATCCTCAGATTCCATTTCCCAATAAGGGTCCAGCTGTCCAATGGGAACGGCCCCAGATAAGTCTGTGTTGGGTCCAGCTGTCCAATGAGAACAGCCCCAGATAACTCCGTGCTTGGTCAAGCTGTCCAATGGGAACAGCCCCAGATGATTCCGTGTTAGGTCCAGCTGTCCAATGGGAACAGCCCCAGATAACTCCGTGCTTGGTCAGGCTGTCCAATGGGAACAGCCCCAGATGATTCTGTGTTGGGTCGAGCTGTCCAATGGGAACAGCCCTGGGACTATTTTGCTGGGACTGTTAGAGAAGAGAAACCTTTTTTAGCTGCGCTTGTTGAGGTGGCGAGGTGCAAACCCAGAGCTTCTGGTGGCTGACTTCCCAGCCCACAAAGAGAAAGCAGAGTCCAAGGATGACTTTTAAAAATGACATTTCAGGCCGGGCGCGGTGGCTCACGCCTGTAATCCTAGCTGCTCAAGGTCAGGAGTTCAAAACCAGCCTGAGCGAGACCCCGTCTCTACCATAAAAATAGAAAGAAATTAATTGGCCAACTAATATATATATATATAAAAATCAGCCGGGCATGGTGGCTTGTGCCTGTAGTCCCAGCTACTTGGGAGGCTGAGGCAGGAGGATGGCTTGAGCCCAGGAGTTTGAGGTTGCTGTGAGCTAGGCTGACGCCACGGCACTCACTCTAGCCTAGGCAAGAAAGCTAGACTCTGTCTCAAAAAAAAAAAAAAAAAAAATGACATTTCAAATTAGCGGGGAAAGAATGAAATATTCTCCAGATGAGACAATCGGCTACGTGTGTGTGGGGGAATTAAGTCCTCTCCCTTCCTCATATCGCAAAAAGAAATCTATTCCAGTGAGATGAAAGAAATAAGTATTGAAAAGTGAACGTTATAAGGGAAAATGCAGAATTAGACTTTTTCATAAATTTGAGAGTGGGCAAAACCTTCCTTGGCAAGACACAAAATCAAGAAGATGCAAAAGGAAAATACTTGCACATTGACTGCATGAAAACAGAAACCTGTATGGCCAAAGGCACCATAGAAAAAGTCACAAGGCCAATAACAGCTGGAGAAAATATTTGCAACATTGCAACGGACGAATGTAAATCGCCCTAATTACAAAGAGGTTTGATTGTCAATAGAACAAAAGGGAAAACCACTTAAGCCCAAATTGGGCAAAGGATGTGAGCAAGCACAGTGCAGAATAGTCAGCAGGATTATTGTTCACTCCTGGAAACGCTGATCAAAAGAAGTACCCGGGGGAAGGGATTAGAAGACATGTCATGCGTGGAACTGTTGAAGGAATGGGGAATATTTAGCCCAGAAGGAAACAGGTTAGAGCAGCACAGTCCAATAAACATATGATGCCAGCCACATACGGAATTCTACATTTTCTATTACTACTTAAAAAAAAAAAAGCAAAAGGAAACAGGTCACTTGTTTAATTTTAATAGTATATTTTATGTAACCAAAAAAGAGTGTCAGTTGAACATGCAACCAACATAAAAATTACTCATGACTGTTTTGCAGGACCACGGCTTCGAAATCCAGCGTGCGTTTTGTGCTTATGGCACATCTCAATTTGGGCCGGATGCGTTTCAAGGGCTGGATGGTCTTGACTGGTGAGTGGTGACCTTATTGGGCGGCACAGTGTCTCGGGCTGAGCGGATGGGTCACCGACCCAGCGCCATGTCCTGGCTTTTCCATTTGCTAACTATATGGCCTTTTTGATTTTCCACTTCTTCGTTTGAAGAGTGGCACCCGATGGCTGCTGCGGGTTTTTAATGGAATCCACTTGAAGCATTTAGTACACCAGCTAGCACAGAGTTAGGAGAACACAACGCTTATTTATTTGTGGCTACTGATTATTACCAAATAGCCGATATGTGGAAGAGGCGTTAAGCCTACAATCTGCGAGCAGAGTGGACAGAACAAAGACCCACAGGTAAAAACGGCAGGGAGTTAGATTTTAATTCAGCATAAGAAAAAAAACTTCACAATTTAGAGCTGTGCTACCCAACACACTAGCTGCCAGCCCCATGTGACCACTGAGCTCCGATACAGCTGGTCCAGCTGAGAAATGCTAAAGTGTAAAATACACACCAGATTGCCAAGATTTGGTGCAATAAACCCAATGGAAAACATCTCATTGGATTTCTAAGTATTGATTACATGTTGAAATGATCCCATTGTAGATATACTGGTTAAAAGAGAATGTTAAAATTCATTTGATGCATTTCTACTTTTTAAATGTACTTTTTGCTTTTTAAAATAGCGTTAACAAGTTCACATCATGTTTCTGTTGGGTAGCACTGATTTAGACCTTTGCTATGTACGAGGGGATAGAATGCTTTGTGGGGTCGTGGTAGTGACTCCCCTATCCTGAGAGCGTTTCAAGCCGAGGGCAGATGATTGGGAAGCAGGGGTGACACCAGATGGCTTCACTTGTGGGTTGCTTCAGCTCCTGGGGCTCCTAGCCGTGTAGGAGCTGCCGGGGCCGCAGCTAAGTGCGTGGCTGGAAGGCAGCTGACCATCTGCCTGCCCCTGGCCTAGAGAGCGGCTCTCGTCCCCCACAGCAGGGCTCATCTCTGCCAAGCAGGAGCCCAGCAGACGTACTGTTGGCTCAGGGGACATCGACTGGCAGAGAGGGAACCAGACCCTGGCTGCCTCCTGTGCCCCTGTGGCTTAGACCAGCTCAAGGGTTAGCCACATGAGGTCCCCTCTCTCTCCTGCTCCCAGACAGTGTCCCAGGGGAGGGCCCCTCATCACTTTCTGCCCAGCCCTACGTCCTGGGCAAAACTCCCACTCTAGGGAAGCTCTTGGCTGCCTGGGAGTGCAGAGCCCCATAGAGTAAGTGGTTTAGCAGATGCAGAGCCGGAAGCAGCCGATTCCTCAACCCCGGTGGCCAGCCTGCTTTCTCCTTCAGCCTCTGTCTGGTCAAGCAAGGATCGACCCAGCACGCTGAGAGTGGGCTGGGCCGGCTCTGATGCAAGCTGGACAACCCAGAACCGGTGTGCATTTCCAGTAGTAATTGGAACCCACGCCCAGCAGGAGGGTGTGGCCAGGGCTCGGAGCCTGGTGGCTCTGTTCTGGCCCTGGTGTTCCCCCACTTACAATGAGACCTCAGGCAAGTCCCATCTCCTTTCTGGGCCTCAGTTTCCTCATTCATCAAACAAAGGACAGGGATGCCACATGGCCTTCTCAGCTCTGAAATGCAAGAATCGTTCTATTCATTCACATCAGCTCCTCAGAGCTCCTGTCTGTTGCATCCTTTTAATTCTCGCCACTAAGTCTTGTCTGTCCCAACTGGATGAAGACAGTGACAGCAATAACAGCATGGGCAGCGTCAGCAGCGAGCATTTGTTGATTGCTGCTGTGTTTTACGTTGCATTTCATGTATCCAATCCTGCCAACCACCTTATGAGGTAGGGACGGTCATTATCTCTGCTCTGTGTAGGCAGACGCAGCGAACCATAAGCGGCTTGTGTTAGTTGTCACGACAAAGAGTCACAGACTGGGCAGCTTAAGCAACAGAAATCTACTTTCTCACAGTTCTGGAGGCCGGAAGTTCAAGATCAAGGTGTCGGCAGGGTTGGTTCCTTCTCCCCTTGGCTAGCAGATGGGCGTCTTCTCCCTGGGTCCACATGTCGTCTTCCCTCTGTGCAGGTCTGTCTCCAAATTTCCTCTTCTCATAAGGATGCTAGTCATATGGGATGAGAGCCCATCCTGATGAACCTCATTTTAACTGAATGACCTCTGTAAAGACCCTGTCTCCAAATACAGTCACGTTCTGAGGGACTGGGAGTTAGGACTTCAACATATGAGATTTAGGGGGACACGGTGCAGCCCGTGACACGGTGCAGAGCCTCCTCCTGCCCCTGCCCCCTCTGCAGGGCTGGAGCCAGGGGAATGGCTGGTGGCCTGAGCGCATGTGTTTTGTGAAGGGGGCTCCAGCAGCGTCAAGTTCAAAGCCAGGGCGAGGAGGGGCAATTGAGCAGCTGTTAAATGCTAAGGAAAGTGGGCTTCCGCCTGAGAGTTTGCGGGGCTGGTGGATGGTGTCGAGCACGGGGAAGGGGGCCCTGGGATTCACCCCGAGGAGGAGCTCCTTGACACAGCGTGGGGCCGGCCGCAGCCACAGCTGTCACCCTGCTGGTGCTCCAGTCCCCGGCACGCCTCTCAGGGAAGCCAGGGGACCCCTCTCATCTACTGTTCAGCTGGGACCCCAAACTATTCAGCCTGCCAACCATTAGTCTCGAACAATCGCCTTGCAAGCACGGTTTTGGGGTACGGGTAGCCTCCTGGAAGGCTACGTCCCAACCACACCAAAACCAGGATGTGGTCTCTGTCCTCACAGGGACCGTGCGAGCCTTGCCGGGCTCCCCACTTACCGGTGGGGCTGGGTCAGGCTGCAGGGTCTCCCTGGCTGAGCCTCCAGGGGAGAACCCGGGGTGCAGGGGCCTGCAGGAGACTCAGAGTGGGCTGCACTGGGAGCATCCTGTGACATGGACCGTCCCCCTTCAAGCCGCTTCAGCCAATAATAATCACAGCAGAGCTAACGCTTACTGAGCACGTACCCTGTGCACACTGTAAAGCATCGACTCATTTCATCTTCATGGCAACGCTATGAGGTGGAAACTATTATCTCTATTTTACAGGAGAGGAAACTGAGGCACAAAGCGGCTAAGCCACTTGCCTAAGGTCGCTGGTGGAGCTCCTTGAAGAGGGTTGAAGGGGAGTCTTCTGCTGAGTATAGAGAAGGAACTGTACCTACGGCTTGGAGACAGGTACTCCATCGTTTTTGGCCTATCAGTCCATAAAATTAGAGGGTGCAAACTAGCGCCTCCAGTTTTTCCATGCAAAGCTTTAAAACTTAAAAATCAGATACTTTTTTTAAAGAGATGGAGTCTCACTGTCACCCAGGCCGGAGTGCAGTGGTACGATCTTTGTCCCCCTGGATGAACATAGCCACAGATAGTAGGGGTAGAAAGCCCTTTAGAAATTGACTTTGACACCGAGAGACACTGTTCTTGCAGACGCCTTTATTAATGGAGTCTCGAGAAGGTGACTGCCCATGGCCACACGTTGAGTTGCAGGCAGAAAATCTATGAATTTCATATGTGAAATGTCAGTGTGTCTAAAGAACACTTGGGAAACTATTTAAAATGCAGCTTCCCAGGCCCCAGCCCCACAGGTTCTGACTCAGCCGGTCTCCCCTGCGGCCCAGCAATCTGTGTTCTAACAATCATGCTCCCCGCCCTGCCCTCCGCCCCCTGTGAGCAGATTCTCTCCCTGGGGATCCTCGGACTATACTTTGAGAAACATGACTTTAGCACCTGGACTCTGAGAACAGCTACCTGGAACACGAGCAAGCAGTGCTGGGCCGGGAGTGCAAAGACTCAGGTTTTATCCTTGGTTCGATGTGACTGTGGCCCAATCTGTTTTCGATTTACTCAACTTAAACATCGTCCCGGCCAGGCGCGGTGGCTCACGCCTGTAATCCTAGCACTCTGGGAGGCCGAGGCGGGCAGATTGCTCAAGGTCAGGAGTTCGAAACCAGCCTGAGCGAGACCCCGTCTCTACTAAAAATAGAAAGAAATTAATTGACCAACTAAAAAATATATATATACAAAAAATTAGCCGGGCATAGTGACGCATGCCTGTAGTCCCAGCTACTCGGGAGGCTGAGGCAGCAGGATTGCTTGAGCCTAGGAGTCTGAGGTTGCTGTGAGCTAGGCTGACGCCACGGCACTCACTCTAGCCTGGGCAACAAAGCGAGACTCTGTCTCAAAAAAAAAAAAAAAAATCTTCCCGCACCAAGACCGTTCCTGGGGCTTTCCTTCCGACAGCATTTAGCCAAAGCTCACGCACCTGGATGTCTGGGCCTGAAAGCTTTGAGGGCTCCTCAGCCCCTCCCCGCAGCTGCAGGTGCCAGGTCGCGGGGAACCTATTTCCCTGCCTGTCGCACAGGTCTGCATGGAACGGACCTCGGGGCGGGATGGGTTCTAGAGGAGGGAGCTTGGCGTCCACTTCTCTCCGGAGCCCAGCTGGGCACAGCCCGCACTAACCCGCCACTGTCCCCTGGAGCCCCACAGGGCTGGCTTGTGATCACGCACAAAGGCTTGCGGATAAAAGCAAACTGTCCCTGTTCACTGCAGGACAGAACACGGCATGTTCACTATGGGGAATCACATCGGGCCTGTGAGTGGGGACATCTGAGTGCAGGCTCCTGGGTGGTGGGGCGGGACTGTCCCTCTCAGCCCTATGGCATCACAGTGCCCACCTGTGATCACCATTTGTTACCATTTGCCCCCAGATGCAAAGCCTCAAGAGAGGAGGAGCTGCTTGCCTGGGGACGGGATGTGGCTACCTAGTGGAGAAGGAAACTGAGGTTACCCTGGGGCCACCTCTCCTGACCCTTCTCTTGTTCTGGTCTCTGTTTGGCCCTAAATCCTACCACAAAGAAATCAGGTTTGTTCAGCCCTTTAGTGGTCACGTGTGCAAGTCATGCTGCCCTGCACAAAGCACCCTGAGGGACAGCCCGCAATCAGCCCGTCTCCCGCATGAGGAAACCGGGGCTTAGAACCCATAAGGGGTCCTTCAGACGGTGGCTGCTGGATTTTTTATTAAAGAGACTCTTTTATGTCTCTGTGTGTTTTATTTTGTCAATAGGAGACTCAGGGTCCAAACTGGTGTTGGTGGGACCCCTCTGTAGATCCCAGGAGGTCTGGGTAGCTTTGACGCTTAGCGAGAAGGACTTAGCTGTCTAATTCGGCAGCTGTGCTGTCCAGTCCAGCAGCCACAGCCACATGCGGCCACGGAGCACCTGAAATGTGGCTCGTTCCAAGCGAGATGTGCACTAAGTGTAAAACCAGGGCGTGCAAGGGCTGACCTAGTCACCTAGTCACTAACTAGCGGGGACCCAGGGATCTCGCCCAGGTCTACTCCAGGTAGCTCTTTCTGGGGCTGCAGACGTGCCCCTGGGTTGGGAGCCTCAATGCCTCTCTGTCTCCACCCAACTTCCCACCGGGACGGGGCTGCTCCCAGCCGCGGGAGCCCCGGCCGCCCTAGCACCTCCCGCAGCGAAGGATCAGAGAACAGGGCCCTTGGCATGGGGGCCAGGTGTCCTGGTTTACCCCTGGGAGGTGCGTGAAGCTGAGACTGGCCCTGGGACCCAGCGTGCCCCTGGAGTCCTGGGGCTGCCTACCGGAGTGCACAGGCTCAGAAGAGGAAAAGCAACGTGCCGGCAGGGGAGGCTGTGTCCTGGGACACGGGCAGAGGACACTGTCCCCAAACTATGATGGAAGATACTCAAAGAGCTGGGCTGGCTTCCTCTTGATTTCCCGCCGAGCATGTAGGGCTGTCTGATCTTCACGACAACCCTGTGACATGCATGTTATTACTGTCCCATTCCCATGAATTCATTAAGGGTCTTGGTTGCAAATAACAGAATCTACTCTGGCTAATTTAAGCAGAAAGGGCTTTTCTCTAAAAATATTGGGTGAGTTTCTGGGTTCAGGGTGGGGAGACAGAAAACTGGGTTTGCAGGGTAGATAGCTCGATGTGACACCCAATCATTCAACAGGGGGTGCTTTAGCAAACGTGCAACTGCTCTGTGGACACACAGGCTCAGCCACGGCTGTCCCCAAAGATCCGGCTGCCTCTGCCACCGTGTTCACCAAAAGATAAGACAAGTGCTCAGGTTGGCGATCTCTCGTTCTCCACGGAAGTTTCACCCGGCCAATTTACGATCAAACGGGGGCCAGGAGATCGAACTGTGTCCGGGCTCACACCATGGGCACGTGGGGAAATCCCCGGGTACAGAAAAGCGACTCCAAGATGACGGGCAGCCACAGATAGGAAAAAAGCCCCCGATGCTCCACATCACTAGTGAGAAAACAGAGGCACAGAGAGGTCGAGAAACTTGCCCAAGGCGGCACAGCTAGAAATGGGGGAGGTAAGATTCAAATCCAAGCCGTCTAGATCCAGAGCTGACATCGTGGGTGGGAGAGGGTCCGGACCGGCGGAGGTGGCTGGTGGAGATGCCACGCCAGGCAGAGGCGCCCGTGTGATCAAAGGCGCGGGGGGAAGGGCAGCTCCTGCAGCAGGAGCCATGGCTCCCTACATCCTGCCAGAGACGGGGCAAGGAGGGAGGGGCTGCGGCCCCGGCAGAGAGGTACGAGGCCCCACAGAGGCCCTGCCGGCCGACACCCGTCGGGTTGTGCAATTGCAGGGCCCACGTCATGTCCGGGTTAGGGTCTCCAACACAGTGGACCCTGAGGGGCCCTGGGGTCCCATGAGTGGCCTGCTTCCAACTCTCAGCCTGTGTCCCCTGCCAGACCCCAGCAGGCCTCTAGGAACTGGACGTTCTCCCAGGCAGGTTGACATTGACAGTAAACAGAGACATTCCAAACCTGGAGGAATTGGAGCAATGCAGCCACGGGCGAGGGCTCCTGAGGTGACACGGGAGGGGCAGGGCTTCCTGTGGCCCAGCTGCGGCCTGTGCACGTCCTGAGCAAATACTCCGAGTGCCTACTGTGTGCGGGCCGTGGGGGCGAGGCATTCCTGAGCTCCCGCCCAGAAACCCGAGGCGCCGGCCCAAGGGGGCCGGGCCGGCCCACTCAAGGAGCAGGGAGAGTTTCGATCTCACTCTCCGCTCGCTCGGCTCCTCCAGGGCTGGGGAGGGACAGCTGCCAGCCAGAGCGGTATCGCCACCCCACCCCTGTCATCGGGCCCGACGCCTAGCTGGCAGACTGAAGCCAGCTGTCCCCAGGCTGGGCGCGGGGACGGGAGGCCCTGGGACCCTGGCGTCCTGTCCTGAGCGTGCATTCCTCTCGGCCTGCAGTCTCCGCTAGGAAGGGCAGCACAGCGTCTCCAGAGCAGGTCAAGGCTCTGGGCCAAAGTGGCACGGTGGTGGCAGCAAGCATGGACAGAGCAAAGCTGCTCCCTCCCCAGAGGAGGTTCCCCGAATAGAGGGAGGGACCAGGAGTCCCCCTCCCCTGCCAGCCTGTCCCCTGCAGTTTGGGACAGGAGGAGGTTCCTTCTCCTAGTTCCCAGCCCTGGCTCTTTGCTGTTGGGGAGCCGGCCTTGTACGTCATCCCCCTGCCTTGCTCCCCGCATCCCTCAGCCCCGCCTCCGGGAGGGTGTCTGGGCCCCTGTAGCTGCCGGCGCCCACCCACCCATCCGCATCCAGAGCCGTCCCACTCCCACCCATCCGCATCCAGAGCCGTCCCACTGCGTGTGGCCTGCAAGCTGTCTCAAACCGCCGTCTGTCCGTGCAGGGCCAAGGGCAGCATCCAGAGCAAGCGCTTGGAAACCTCCCTGGCGCTGAGCCGTTGCCGCGACACCCAGGCACCTGATGGTTTTTATTGTGATTTATAAACGTATCGGTTCGTGACGAATCGGCAATCAAACACACAGACTGGCCCTTCGCCACATTTGGTTTGACAAACACCGAGCCAGGGGACTGCAGAAGAAAGGTCTGCCCTGGGGGCTGCCGGCTGCCCAGCCTGGCCCCCTTCCCTTTGTCTCTCTGAGCTCAGACCCTGGAGAAGCAGCCAGGGGACCTGCCAGAGCGTCTGCAGGCCCAGGGAGTGGCGTGGCCGGGCGCCCCTGCGCAGACACGGGAGCCTGGGTGGGACGCACAGGGGACTTCCAGAAGGCAGCTGACTCGGTCCCGTAGGTCTGGCTCCGATTGGGCTCCAGACGGACAAGGTCCCTCCCGAGCTTAGGTCCTCTCGGCCGGGGGGAGGGGCTGGCCACAGACCGTGGACCAATGAGCACTTGAAGCAGGTGATTTCGGGTGGCGGCCAGTGCCCTGGGGAAATGCAGCGGGCCCACGCCATGGGGGGTGAGGAGGTGGGCTTGGGGGTCACAGCCTACGGAGTGGGGGTCGGGTCAGAGAGAGGCTCTGGGACCTTTGAATAAAGAAAGGAGCGAGTGGGCAAGGCTGTCTTTTTGGACAGAGAGCCTCGGAAGGGGGGTCACGCCTTCCCTGGGGAGACCCGGGCATTAACTTCGCTCCTTTGCCTAGACTTGCGAGGCCACAGGAGGGGGACAGTGGCCACCCCAGGAGAGGGCGGTGGGGTTGCCAACAGTCTAACGGGGCCCAGGGAGTCATTTCAGAAGGCCTGGAGGAGAGAAGGACAAAGAGGAGAAGAAACTGCGGGGGCCTCTGCCCCGCCCAAGGCCGCCGTGGGCCTCGCCTCTGTGCTGCCCGCACCCTGGGGGGCCCAGGCGGCTGCCCAGACCTTGCCCTGGCACATCTGGCTCGTGGCATGGGTTCATCGCGGGTGCCCCCGGCCCTGCCCCTGCCGTCCCGGCTGCCTGCAGAGCCCAGCGCGGGAGGCCAGGCCCCAGCCCTATTTTAAGCTCGGCCCTGCTCATTCTGTGCCGTTTCCTTCCAAACAAACGGCTTCCCCTTTGGGGAGGTTATCGGTGTGCAGCCAGGGCGGGCAGGGCCGGATTTCTGCCCTGGGCACTCCCCGGAGGTGGGACAGTGGCCAGAGACGAGGCCCTGGCAGGGCTGACTGAACCACACCGACCCTGGACCCGCTACCCAGCAGGGCGGCCTCCCCAGCTCTCTGCCCGGCACCCGGGCTGCGGGGCGTCCTCCTCTTCCATCCTTGGGGCAACGCATCCCTGCAAACAGCACCAGCCTGCCGGCCAGCGAGCTCGGCTCTTGGATGAGGCTGCCCAGGTGTTTCCTGCTGAAATGCCCCATAGGGACGCAAGGACACTTCTCACCGTGTCTCAAGAGCTCACAACTCTTCTCTCCCCTTCTACTCTGTCCCCTCTGACCCGTTTCCCCACAGCAGCCGGAAAACATGGGCCGGCATACTCACTCCACTGCTTCGCCTGTTGACGGGCTTCCTGTTGTCCTTAAGATCAAAATTCAAACTCCCACCATGGCCTGCGAGAGCCCCTGGCTGCCTCTCTGATTTCTGCTCCCGCTTCCCTCATTCCAGTCACAACCGTTCTTTCAAGCACACGCTGTCTTCCCTACCCCAGGGCCTTTGCACTTGCCCTTACATCCTCTGCATGACATTCTCTTCCCATGGCTGGCTGTTCTTCTAGTCTAACTGTCACCCTTCAGCGAGCCCTTCCCAAGGTCACTCTGCCTAAAATGACCTCTCCCTGTCCGTCGCTCTTTCTCTGTCACCCTGTTTCATTTCTTCCCAGCACCTAGCACTGTTGAAAGTGTCTTGTTTAGTGACTTATTTATATTTTTCCTCGTGTTCTGTCTCTGCTCCTAGAGCGTAAACTCCTTGAGGGTAGGGACCTTGTCTGGCCTGTTCGCCGTGAGTGCCGGGGCCTGGCAATCGCTCCCTAAGCGTTGGTGAAGGAATGGACAAAAGAAATTGACAAAGAGCTTCAGAGCAAGAAGAGTGTGGAGGCGCTGCAGGGTTTGGAAGTCCTGCGCCACCACTCTGGGCGTGACGCATGCCAAGGGTTGCTGTAAGTGCTTCGTGTGTATGGGCTCAATCTTCCAGCAACCCCAAGAAGGCCGGCGGTGGTAGTATTCCCATTCTACAGATGGGAAAACGAAGGCACAGGGAGGTTAAATGGCCAGCACAAGAGCACACGGCCAGTCAGCTCCCTATGCCGCGTGTCTGGGGAGAAACACAAAGGGTCCCCCCATGCAAACGTCTCAGCTGGGTTGCACAAGGAACAGAAAACCCTTTGGCCATCCTGCACAGATCTTAGTGGGGGAGGGGACCCGTCCAACCAGGGGCCTGGCCTTCCACGGGCCATGGGGCGGGCACGTGTTCCAGTCTGCGCTGGCCCGACGCCCTCTCTAAACGGGAGCCCCAGCCCCAGGAAACCAGGCGCAAAGGAGGAAGGCAAAGCCACTCCTGGGCTCCGCTGAGTCCTGCAAGACCCTGTGGCTCCCTGCCTGGCAAGGCCCCCGCCGCACTCACAAGCCTCGGGGTCACCCCCGTGACCTCATTCCTGCCACTTTCCCCACCGCTCACCACGGTTCAGCAACACTGTCACTTTCATGGCTCAGGGCAAACGCCCTGTCACCCTAGGACATTTGTCCCTGCTGTTCCCTCTCTGCTCAGAACATTCCTCTCCAGACCTTCCCTCCTCTGGTCATTTTAGCCTCTGTCAGAGGTGTGCTCAGAGGCCATGCCCACCCGCCGGTCAGTGCCCCCCACACCCTCCAGTCCTGCTTTCTCTGGGGTGACTGTTGCCAGCTGAGGTTATTTTGCCGCC